ACAGACCTCGTTCAGGCCCTGGCAGGGAGATGGACATTGCTGGATCAGGTACCTGTGGTGCTGCTGGGGCACTCACCGGTGCTTGGGCTTTAGGCCGTAGAGCGTGTGGTCAAAGCGGGCATTCAGCTTCCTCTCAAGGAAAAAATTGACGACATTTGGAGGCAGCAGGTTCTGCAGGAGCTGCTTGAAGCGACTGATGTAGGTGAAGTCAAAAGGGTACCCACTGTCTGCCACCCGGTGCAGCACCCAGGAGCCACGCTTGGTGCTGAGGAAAACCTGGGAGAAAGGAGAAGAGAGGTGGTGGCATGGCAGTGTCCTCAGACCAGGCTGGCCCCTGCCATGCTACAGGGACAGGGAAGCCAGCACAGGGGAGTGGCTATTGTACTGGGACCACAATAGCCACCCCCTTAGAGAGGGGATGGGGTGCTTGTGGCCGGGTGCTGGAGGGAGAGAATCCCACAGGGGCTGGTGGGTGATGTTCGTTGCCCTCTGTGGTCCCATCCCTGTTGGTTCTCCCAGCACACCTGCTTGGCTACGTTGCTCAGCTCCACTGCAATATCGATGCCTGAATTCCCGATGCCAACCACGACCACCCGCTTTCCCAAAAAGGACTGTGGGTTCTTGTAGTCCCGGCTGTGCAGGTACCATCCCTCAAACTTTTCCAGCCCTGGAAGAGAAAGGGAAGCCATGCTGGGCTGGGATGTGGGGCAGGAGGGCAGCTGCCCCCTGTTCAGACTGATGGTGTGTTTTRGGAACAGGCTGGGACCAGTGTGACCAACAGGAGTTATGCAGCCCTGGGGTAGTGCCCAAAGAGGTGGTGGTATCTCCGGCATGGGAGATTCTCAYTGTAGCCCTGAGCATCCTGTTCTGGCTTTGGGACTGGACTGGCTTGGAGCAGGGCTTGGACTGGAGAATTCCATGCTGCCATCCAAAATTCTGCTGCAGTTCCTTTCTGATGCCACATGTTGCAGTTAGAGGAACAGCCAGGGTTTGTGCCATCTTGCCAAACCCTGGTGACAGTGCGCTCCAGCCTGTTCTCCAGCCAAAGAGGTTCTCCACAGCTGAAAGCTCTCCAAACGTTTTCCCCTGGCACTCAGAGGAGAAGATCACCACCAGTGAGCCCTGGTGAGGAGCTGGAGGGCCCAGCAGGACCTTAGCCAGCAACATGGAGAGGGAGCCTSTGTCTGGTGGGAGAGGCACATTAGCAGTGGTGACATCTGCCAGCATGGATGCTCATGCTACCCCACCTGGTGTGTTAAGCTGCAAAGACATTTAGGGATGTCAGGGAGCAGGYGAGCAGCCCACAGCCAGTACCTGGGAAGGAACTGAGCGGGAGATGTGCGTCGGTGTGGTGCCCACTGCACACCAGCACAGCGTCGAAGACGGCCATCTCCTGCTTCCCCTCGCTCTCCGTCACCACCTCCCACTGCCCGCTGCTGGCAAAGTCGGGGCGCTTGGACACACGGCACACGCTGGTCTGGGCACAGGGAGAGCGGTGTCAGGCACCCTGTGCCCCCTGTGCCCGCTGCTACCACCCCCTCAGCCCCCAGCTCTCACCCTGAAGCGGATGTGGCGCAGTAGGTCGAAGTGCTGGGCGTACATGCGGAAATACTCCATGATCTTGGAGTTGTGCATGTAGTTGGGGAAGTCCTCAGGGATGGGGTAGTCACTGAAGCACATCATCTCCTTGGAGGTGTTGATGATGACGGAGCGGTAGATGCTGGCACGGCCATCCTCGGGGTTCTCCTGTGGGAGCAGGGCATGGCTCAGCACTGGTGTGGGACTGTAGGGCCACCTGCTTGCCCTGCCTGGCATCTCTCATGTGGGTGCAGAAGTAAACCACAGGTGGTTGTAACACCCATCCCTGCACCCAGCACTCGCCTGTGGCTGAGACCCCCCCACCCCAAAACACAGGGAAGAGATAGCTCTGGAATGACAGGGGACCAGGCAGTGGTGACAGTGTGTTGTGGCAGTCTTGTGCCTCAGTTTCCCTGCTTCCACCCCTTGCCTCTATGAGATAGTGCACTCCCAAAGCTTTTGTGGTGCCATTGCCCTGGCTCCCACATCAGGTCTMGCCGGTTGTGGAACCAGCTCCGGTGCTTCCTGCTGAGTGGCTGCTCCTGCTTGCCAGGTCTGTGTCACAGCAGCAGGATGCTGCTGCTCTGGTTCTGCTCCACCAGCCCTGTTCTTCTGCCATCCCAGACAGAAACAGCGGACTGTGATCCATCCACCCCAGACCCCACTTGGCAGAGTCTATCAGAGCACAGTGGGAACACTGGACACCTTGTAGGTGGGTCCATGGGAAAAARATCAGCAACCTCATTAGGCGGGGTGTGAAACGAGCTCCAGGATTACCCTAAGGCAGGGAGAGCCAAAGCACACAGAAGGCTGCCCTTGGTGTCTTTGTGTGAGCTAGTGACATAGAAGCGGGGAGAGGAGCAACCAAGATTCCAGGAAAGGGCTGRGCAGGACAGACACTGGGACAAACAGTGGGGTCAGACAGAACTAAATAGGTAGGAAAAGGCTGGGAGCAACCAAGAGCAAAACAGCAGAGGAAGGGGAATGGATGGATGGGAAAGGGGAAGTCTGAGAGCTTGGGAGAGCAAGCCATGGAATGAAGTCCTTGGGGAGGCTTCATCCTGTTGCTGGTGAGCAGGAGATGGTCCTATATGCCTGGCACACCTGGGACACCTGCTGCCAAAGCAGTTTTACTTTCCTGTAATTTGCCTTGGAAAGCTGCCTGCTGCACGCACACAAAGCAGGGGAGCCGTGTGTCATTATCTGCCAAGGACCGATCCCACTCCCATCCGTGCTGCTGCCGCGGGGCAGGCTGGCTGCGCGGGGCTTACCTCGAAGCGCCAGAGCCCCCCGATGTCCTTGCTCCTCTCAAAGCAGGTGGGCTCCAGCCCCTCATCCAGGCAGCATTTCAGAGCACAAAGGCCAGAGGCACCGGCGCCGATGATGGCTACTTTCCGGGCAGGCATGTCCCACGGTGTGGTGGTGGCAGGGATGCTGCAGAAGTGGTCAGGAGCGAAACGCACTGGAGCSGGGGTTGTGGAGCTTGGGGAGTCCCACCAGGGAGGCTGCCGGTGCTGCTCGGTTTGGGAATGACTGTCCCTGTGCTTCCCGTGGGCGGCCGAGGTCCAGTGAGGTGTCACAAGATGTGCTTCTTCCAGACATGATCTACGAGCTTCCCCCACCACCCTGCCACACCCCCTGCCTGCACTTGCCCTCCGTAAAACACACATGAAGTTCTGTAAGCGCTTAATGATGCCGACATTGCCCCGGGACTTCCTGGGCAGGGCAGAGGTGTGGCTGTGCTCCACATTTCATCAGGTTGCGGCATGGAAAACAAACCTAGGGGGATGCTCAGTCCTACCAGCCCAGGTGTGTGGTGGCCGGGACCCCCACTTTAGCCACTCTGGGTGCCCCGCCCACCCAGCCACCTTCCGGAGGGGCTGCATGCAGGTGACGAGGGTGGCACTGAGCCGTGCCGCTATGACCCCCAGGACCTGCTCTGGCARCACTTCCCTCAGGCACCTTCCCTGAGAGAAGCTGTCTTGCTGTGGAATGTGTGTATGTGTATGTCCACATCAGCCCATGCTGCAGGGCCAGTGCAACGAGGYTGATCTCAAACCCGTGAGCATTCCCACAGCACATGGAGGCGTTAGTGATGGTGTCAGTAAYAGGACAGACACTTGGTTGTTTAATGCATTTATCCAGTTAGAAAATGTGCTGTGCCTTTGCTGCTTAGCTCTGCTGCGAGTRTGGCAACATTGGCACAGTTCGATTACAGAGGACAGAAAAGCCTGGAGCGCTGGCTGAGAGGGACTGGATTTTAGCCTGCAATGAGCAGGTTTCCTCTGTCCCTAATGGCACTCCCCAGGGGGAGGCACAGAGCAGGAGCCCAAGCATTATTCTGGCAGCTGGGGAGGCTCTGTGCATCCCAAGCTCATGGTGTGGTCACAGCAGGTCCGTGCCAGGCAGGAGGAAGATTTCTGCCASCACTGGGGTGCACAGGCTGCCAAGGGGCAGAGGTGACCAGCCAGCCCCCCAGCACATTGCAAAACCTCCCTTCCTGCACTTGCAGGGCACCTACAAATAGGCAAAAGCGGCAGCCAGGATGGCCATGGCCCCGACCAGCTTGAAGAGGAAGGGCACMGCAGGGGCTGAGGTGCTCTCTTCCACGTGCCGTGTCTGCAGGGGCTTGAGGATGCGCTGCTGCTGGGTGAGGATGGCCTCCCTGGCACCCTCCCATGC